CATCATAGGAGCAATTTTATTTGCAATATACACTGTGTCCAAGATAAGGATGGGTCGGATAGCATTAGGATCTAGGAAACAGTAAGAGATACGGGTTGGTTCAAATTAGAAAAAAAGTTGTGTTTTTTTTATACCTAACAATATGTCGTTTAAAAAGTTTTAAAATTCTGGGTAGTTCCGGAAATATCCGAAAAAACCCGAAATTTTGCAAAATCGTTTTATTTTTTTTCTGGTTTTATTTGAAGAGGAATTTTATAATAAATTGCATATTTACATTCGCTCTATCCAATGGCATCAACATTTTTGCAATTCGACGTTTCGTCTTCGAGGGTCCATCATCAGGTTAATTTTTTTAAATACGGCGCTGCTATGTTTATGACAATATCTAAAGTCAATTTTAATTCTGAATTGGATGATATTACTATTGTAATCGACTTTAGCTATCTTTTAAATTTTTTTCTGAGTAGGGCTCGAACGCTTTCAAAATACTATCTATTGAAGGAAGTCATAACAGTATAAAAGTCAATACAGCACAAAATATCCAACATTTTTTTACTACTATTAACAATACTAATTAGAAATAATAAATATTTCATAAATTCGTATTATTTTTTCATTAGGTACTTTTTAAATTATTGATTAAAAAAAATAAAAAAAGTGTTGGATATTTTGTGCTGTACTGTTACAACTTCTTCCCATAGATATTTTGAAAGCGTTCAGAACAGTACTCAGGAAAAATTTTAAACAATAGCTAATACAAGCTAAAAACCTTTTTAAGCTAATACAATAGTAATATCAATAAAAGTAATGGCAATAAAAATAAAATTCTCAAATTTTAACTTCCTGTATCACGAGAACGAAGGGTTTTCGGACACATGTTTATAGAAATTTTTTTGTTAATTTATAATGTACAATCCGTCACTAAAAATTGCGGGTTAGTTCTGTTACACCCTGTATAAGAAGCAAAATTTTTAACATTGAAAAAATATTATAAATTTTATCTCAGCGAGAGGTTATACCAATAATATGAATAACTGTTCTTCCTGTTGTCATGTACAAATGCATTTAATATTTTTATATCAAGGCAAGCTGGCTTTAGCCTACTTTGTATTTATTAAAATATTTTAATTTTAATTGGTGATTTCATTAAAGTAATTTTATTCGAAATCTTGAATTTTAATAAGAGAAAAAATATCCCAAAATAAATGGCAAATTAGAAAGGGTAAACCATCCAATAATAAAGTTATGGCAATATGAAAGAGAAACACAATGTCATTATTTTATAAATGTTCGGACATCTTATTCAAATAAAGAAAGATGTCTCTTTCCAAAATAATTTTAAATTGTGGCACTACGTCTCAGTGAGCGTTGACTAAAAAACTAAGGCATTTTTGTTTGTGATACCCTTTATATTAGGTATATCGATATTTAAAATATATAAAAAAACATAAATCGTTTCCAAAGCTGTAACGGTGATGTAAACACAGTGTGTTGACAAGTCAACACACTTTGCTACCAAAACAAAGTCTGACTCATTGTCAAAATATGAAAAATGTGACACTCCATTGTCTCCTGTTAGACATTCCTTTATTTCTCTGTTTGAATTTTGATTCACCAGGTACTAATACATAACACAGGTATAAGTAATAGTCAACAGCATTATTTCGAGTAAATGAAACCACGGTAGTTAATAAAATATCGTTCTACTATTAAAAACCTATTTTAAATACAGTTAGTTATTCTAGCTTAATAATTAACGAAGTAGGCCGGTGTTTGTGTTTGAAAGACTTCAGTCAATAAACGAAGAAAATCACTTTAACCGTCACTAGCAAACCGCCAGCAAAAATAGGCACTTCTTGTAAGTATCTCCCAGATGTTGGACTGTGTCAAAAAAAAACAGGCGAAACGCATATCCATGCACGTACATACACATCATAAAGTACGATGTGTGGTTCATATGCAAATGTCCAATGCCATGTAGCTGAATGAAAAAATTAATAATGTATTGTCCGAGGAACGTACAAAGACAGAACATACCTACTGCTAATTATAATTAATTTTACTATTTAAATCACCGTATGAAATAACGTTTTGCTGTTAATACTGACGTCACAAGAGTTCAAGTCAAAAATTATCACGTTCCATGTCGGCACATGGTTAACAATACAATTACAGTATACAGAGTGTTATATTTTAACGTAATTCAGATTCACTGCAAATCCAATTTTTGAAAAATTTAAAAATTTCGAGAATGACTACAATTTTTTTTTTTAGAAAAAAGAAAGTAAATTTTTATTAAAAATATAAATATTTTCTTTAGAAACCAAGGCTGCAGAAGGCACTCTGTCTACGGACTACCAGAGTAGTAGAAATAGCTTCAAGTAACACAGCTTCTACTCTATTATATATTTTGTGGCTTCTACCTAAAAATTATCCGAATTTAATGAAAAACAAAAAAGTTATAACGAAAAACGATTTTCAGCTTTCAACACCAAAACAAAGTAGACCCGAATAAAAAAATATATGATTGTAACGTTAATTTTCATAGTTTGTTCATAAATTAAGCCCAATAGGATTTATCTTCCAAAAAAAATGAATTAAACTAACTGAGCAAAACCTAAGAAAGTTATAAAAAAATTACAATCTTCAGTGGAACATTGTCTTGCCTTGCGTTATTTGTCAGAATTTACAATTTTTATAAAAATCATAAAAATATATTTTCACACTTTTCAGTTTTTCTCTTATTGACTTATTGTTTTAACTTTGTTCATAAACATATTACAGTTATATATTAATATATTTTAAAATACTCAAAGGCCGTACCTACTGAAATCATTACAATTTTAAGTAGTGAGGTAAAAGTAGGTTTTAGTGCTATAACGTTGTTTTGGGTATTTATCTTTCTTATCTTAACAAGATTCATTGTTTATTAATAGAATTTGACATAATCTCTAGCACATTCTCCTCAAAATATGTATAAATAGAATCTCTAAAGCAGCCAAGGAAGAAATATATTCATAAACATATGCAATATCCCCACTACAGCACACAAAATGAGATTAGAAATATTCTTAAACCATATGACTACAAACCAGTTGGCTTTATAAGCATTATACTTTTTTTCGGTTAATGGCGTCAATAATATTTGCACTGGAACTACAATGACTCTTTTTTGGCACGATAGTGCAATACAAGAGCGTTGCCAGCAGCTGCCCCCCCAGTTATTTATTGTACAGGGTGTAACTAAACTTTAATGGGGGAATCTACGTCATAGATTAACAAAAAAGTTATTAAAAATAAATGTTCTGAAATTTTTCGCTGTCAATGTACAGGATGTTCAAAATTAATGAAAATATGTGACTTATTTCATATTGCAAAAAAGCTGCCGTGGAAAGTCTTGTACCTAAATAATACTAAATAACGTGGTTATTTGAATAATTTATTTATTAATTAATTTGATGTTCTGACACTTTAAACAAAAATTACCTACATTTTATCGTTTATATCTAGCAACATGCAGGAAGAAATCATTTTTGGAAAGCCTTTAATATTGTGACATAATAATGGGTCAAATTTGAAATAGCTTTAAATCAGAAATTAAAACCATATACCGAATTTGAAAAAAATCGCACCAGTCTTTTTTTGGCAATAACAATAAAATTCTCAAACTTTAACTTCCTGTATCACGAGAACGAAGGGTTTCCGGGCACATGTTTATAGAAATTTTTTTGTTAATTTATGACGTACAATCCGTCACTAAAAATTGCGGGTTAGTTCTGTTACACCCTGTATAAGAAGCAAAATTTTTAACATTGAAAAAATATTATAAATTTTATCTCAGCNATTTATTAATTTTATTTGGAATTTTATACGCCTAGAAATTGAATTTCATTAAATCATCCTAAAAATTATTTAGTAGTAGTACAAGGAAAATATGTCTCTTGCAGTTTGGTTATTTTAAGAACTAGTAAAAATATTTCAAACCTATCTTTAGAAGAGTTTTAACAAAATATCGCGCAACCTCATTTTGGTTTGAATCTATCAGTAGTTTACAATTTTCTATTAAATAATTCTAAACCTGTACACCTGTACACATATAAAAACAATTAAAGTAACTTCTTCTTAGAGCTACGGTAATATACAGGGCGATTCAGTTTTTAATTATGAAAGTTCATCGGGTAATAGAATAAATTATTTTAAGCAAAGATCTGCAAATGAACGTAGTCCCCAGAACACTTTATTTTCAAAATAGAGGGTGTTGATATAAATATCACACACTTTGTATGTCTCTAAAAATGTTAGAAATCGATCGAAAAAAATTGGTTTGCTGACTTATTTGTTAGATTGACTTACAAATATGTCAACCAGTTTTATTTTATAAACAGGTTAGGTACCACACAGTCAGCTAAATCGAAAATAACTCTAAAACTATTTTGTCTACAAAAACATTCTGTGGGTTTTTTTTGCTTTTACAACGTAATGTGTCAAAAGTTCAAAAACCACCTCAAAAATATCAATTATCGCGTTGTTTTTTTTAATGAGCAGTTTTGCAGTTACTCAGAATTTACTGAAGTGTGTGATAAGACTGTTTTTAAATTTAAAAACATCAAAACTCTAAAACAGCTCGTTCTTCGAACAAAATAGAAGATATGTTCTATTTTTCTTAGAAATGCTGTTGATAAAAAAAAAACTCTAATCAAATTTGTAGAATACTCAGAAATACTGACATCCTGCATCACCCCCACAGGTTGACGTACTTGTAAGTCAAATTAGCAAATGTGTATCTTTATTAGATAGATCAACGAACAGGTTTCATCAAACTACGTCAAACGTCCTCAGGGATATTTAAAAAAATGTGATGTTTATTAATTTCGACTTTATTATGAATATTTTTGCTTAAAATTATTTAATCCATCACCTGGTTTTCCTATTTAAAACCTTGACTACCCCGAATATTTTTTATTTTTATAGGCAGCAATATATTTTTAAATGGTAGTTACCTTTATTATAAGACGTTATTCCTCAAATCGAAAATAAAAACACTAGTGGCTTTCCAAAATTTTTTCCCGCACCACATATCAAACATACTATCCTTGAACACTGAATTTTCAAAATCTAGAAAATTAATACACTTATACGCAGAAAAAAACTAACTTTGCAAAGATTTTTAAGGCACGACAAACGCCTGTACGTTTCAAAATAAAGCGACTGAATTTTGCGCAGCTGCCAATTAGCGCACAAACGGGCCGAGAATGATTGTTTAAACAAATAATTTCACGGCACCAAGGTAGCTTCCCCGGCATTTGGTTCGTCGTACCGCCTTGGTTCAACTTCCTCCTCGATCTCGAAGTCTGCCAAAGATGTTAACTACGTGGATAGCATTGAATATGATCCGTGTTATGCCTTTTGAATTAATTATCTAGGTGGATATATTTCGCAAACAGGATATCGTATGTATTCTTTGTTTTTAAATTAAAATAAGAAGTGAGTGGTTCGGCCAAGTGTTTGAATTTCGTTAAAACCCAAAACAAATATTGAACAATTAAATCGTCATGCCAGAAACATTTTCATTGTTTTAATGGAATGCCATTAATACTTAATGATTCAAAAGTACTGTTGTTCGAAATTTTAGGCAAGTAATTATACGACTGTGTTTAAAGAGTTGCATAACATGATTTCTTCACGCGACATCTAGCGTTGAGTGAACAAGGTACACGATATTTTTAAAAGGCATCTGTAAATAAGTCATTTATATGACAGAGACCTTTATGAACCTACTACAAGGTTACGCATTCTTTCACAAGATGGTGGTACATGTTCTGTATGTTGTCAAATGTATACGATTACTTATATTTTTATATTCATACACTTCACCATTTCAAGCCAATATTTCAGGTTTTCAATAATTAATTTTACAGATTGTATACCTAAACGTGTCTAGTGGACTTTAGAATGCATTCTATTCTAATATTTCTAATTATAATTTACCAGCAAACTGGCAATGTTGCAGATGACTGAACACAAGTTAATTGTGGAGGGAAATGATAGACGGCGCGATACAAAATTCCGTCACGTGTCGTTTTCACATCATATTTTGTAATTTTCCAAATGACAGCAGAGACTAGAGGCTAGATTTGCAGCGCAAACAGCCATTTTTTTTAGATTTGGGGAGTGCACGTGCCTATGTTGTGTGTCGATTTTTTAAATTTGCATACAATAGCCGGGTATTTTGGTGCAATCCATCGGTGAACCTTGTACATATAAGGAAGTTAATAATTGAGGTAGAAAATGTCATTGGAAAACACAAGTGAAAATTTAAATGTCCGGCCAGAGATACAAGCCCAAATGGAAGAAGTTCCAATATCAACTGGAAATATGGAGCACACAAATACCGTAGAGAAAAACACATCTGTAAAAGACGTTGGAGGAAACCTAGCGAATATTGGTACTCCTGTTGGGGACGTAGTCGTAAAAACCGAGAACTTAGATAGTGAATTACAGAGTGATATAAAAAATCCTATAAATTTTGGAGCAAACCAGGAAAGTGATGAAGCAAAATGTGATATTTGTAGCACTGTTGATGTAGAAAACATAACAAATAGTTTAGCCGAGAAGGTAAATATAAAATGTCTCGAACCCTGCAGCAGTTCTACAGTTGAAGAACCTAAACGTGATAAGAAAACTATTGAAATAACAAACAAAGAAAGATCTATAATATCTCCTGCAAAACTTCTAAATATAGTGAATAAATTAAGTACATCGGAAGCAAGTCAAAATATGTCGAAAGTTATTTTGAAGCAACAAACTGATTCTTTGAAGAATCTTTTGGCATATGAAAGCAGTTCAGGTTCAAGTGATGAAGCTGATGAAGAGGAAAATTGGCAGTTCCACAGCATCAACAAGAGCGATAGTGATTCTGATGACTCAGACGATTCGGATGATACATCAAGCAGTGATGAAGACGAAGAAGATGATGATGATGTTGGGTAAATGAAATATTACATTAAACAAAAAATAATTCTTTAAAATTTTCTAATTCCATGTGTTTCTTTAGATTGGGATCCAAAAAACCAAAGGAAAAGAGCCAGCCGAAGCCAGACTCACCAATTACGGAGAACTTAACCTTAAAAATCTATGCCGAAAATAATATTCATGATCTACCGCCTATTCGTGATGTATCTAACCTGGACATTGATATGGAAAAAGAAGAGTTCTTACACATGGGTCATATCGAAGCAGTCATAGAAACTTTGAGTAAGTTTAAACCATCACCCAACCATATTTTCTTTACAAAAAAAATTTGGTTTTCAGTAACAGTCGAAGCTATTCCCGGTATGCCAGCGTATGACCTGGACACTTGCCTTTTTGTCGAGGACAAAACCCTGAAGAAACCTCTAGGTGCTGTTTATGATGTTATTGGGCCTGTAGCCTCACCCTTGTATTGTATCCGTTTTCAGTATGCTAGCGATATCGCGGATCTTAATCTCAAAAAGGGGATGAAAGTGTTTTGCGCGCCCAAGAGCAAGTTCACAAGATATGTTTTCGTTAAGGAGTTGTTAAGGTGAGTTTTGGATTGTGTATTTTTAATAATTGTTCGATTGAAATGGCTATAATCCATTTTTCAACGTGGCCAATTTTTAAAGTCGTAATATACAGGGTAGTCCAGTTTCCGATGCGGAAACTTCAGGGAGCGATAGACATTAAAAAAATAATGAGTGATATATAAATTATATTCGAAAAATGGTTCGTTAAGGAAATACAGTGTGTAATCAAATTTATTAATTGTTGTCAAACGGCCAAAGATATTTCAATGAAATTTTGCAGTAAAAAGCTTTCTTTCGATTTTTCTGTACAACTCAACGTTTTCGAGTAAAAAAATAAAAAACCCTTTTAACACATATGTACAATGTAAATGAAATTTCATTACTTATGTTAATAAAACTGTAACAGGAAAACCAACAGATTTAATTAGTGGTGTACAACAACAAAATAAAATAAAAATGTAAATTAAAGAAATTGCTCGAAATGTAGTCCACCCATCTCGATACATTTTCGACATCGTGTAACTAATGAATTTATTGCAGCAGGATTTCACCGCATATCATTTGCTTGCTGAATCCTTAAAACTAAATCATCTTTTGTTAACACTGGAGTAGCGTAAACTTTGTCTTTTACATTTCCTTAAACATAAAAGTCCAGTGGATTAAGATCCGGTGACCTGGGTGGCCAGGCCACTGGTCCAATACCATTAACCACGTCATGATTCATGTCGTTACTCCCTAGCCAGTCAATCCAACACTGCGGATAATTAGTATTTAGCCATTGTCTTACAGCTATTCCAATATACGGGAGGGGGCTCCATCCAGTCGTATCCAACTTTCATGTCTTAAGTTAACGGGTATATCCTCAATATTGTCCCGCTGGTTATTAGTAAGAAATTCAAGTAATACTTCTGAGTTTAACCTTGGGAGTACAAAATGTGGACCATAAACATTATTATCAAAAACTCCCAACCAAACATTTACGGTAAATTCATTTTGAAATGATTGTGGCCGAAATTCTTGAGGATTTTCGTATGCCCAAACATGAATATTGTGGTAATTCGTTATTGCACGTCTACTGAATGAGGATACATCCATCCACAGAAATTTGTGCAAAAAGTCAGAATTTTCTTCCGTCTAGTTTAAAAGCCACTGGCAAAACCTCTGTCGCTTTTCAGCATCCCCAGGGTGTAAATCTTGAACGGGCTGTAGGTCATATCCATGCCAGTAGGCATCTTGTAATGTTCGTAATATTTGAGATTTAGATATATGTAGTTGCTGAGCTGCTCTGCGCGAACTGAGCCTCGGATTGTCATCAAAAGTACGAAAATACGATTCCGATTGTTATTGCGAAGGTTTCTGTTATGTTCATTATTAACACGCAGGCGAATCGGCGGATGAAACTTCTCTGCGTATCCTGGGCGAGTGCCCGAGATTTGCACGTGGTAGAATGGCGCTCCTGGGGCGATCATATTTGGAACCCAAGAAACAGAGAAGTGTCAGCAAGGAAGCTTTTGGACTTTGTCAAAAGGACAAAACTACTTGCTGAATAGGACTAGTAGTGGGACACACAATAGGCTTAATTAGGCCGCGGTGCTATGGGACTTATTAGGACCAACCACTAGGAAGAAGAAGAACACGCAGGCGAAAGTTACGAAACTTTTGATGTGTTCTAATGAAGACCCGAGCATCTGGAATTCTTCTAAATAGAAGAGTTATCCAAATGGATAACGTCTTTGATATTCGCGAATTGCTGCTTCCACATTTCAATCACAAAATCCGTAACATAAATGAATATCTGCGTATTCTTCGTTACTAAATAGCATTTTCACGATAACACTAATAATAACTATAACAATAACAATAATTACAAATCAAATTACTAGAGAGCTAACTAAATGTGACTCAGTTACTAATTAATTTGACACATAAATTTGTTATTTTGTCATACTTGCTAAATTGTTTTTCAGAGATCACTTTGAAAACATTGAGTCGTACAGAAAAATCGAAAGAGCTTTTTTCTTCCAAATTGAATGAAGAATCCAAAACTAATTTTTATTTTATGTAAAAGCAGTGGCGTACCAATTTTTTCTTTAGAAATATCCAGTAACGTGCTAGTACAGACGCCACTGACAAAACTAAAAATAATGTTTTTCATTGCAAAACGTGCTCTCGCGATGGTAGTTAACGTCTACAAAATTTCATTGAAATTTTGTAGAGGTTTTTCCTCATCGGAAACTGGACCACCCTGTATAGATGTAGCACAAGAAATTTAATAATAATTTCTTATATACCTACTTATGGAAAAATTTAGATGATTCCTTGTTGAAAATGAATGTAGAAAAATGTATCTACTCTCTCCCTTCGGATTAATGTCTATTGAAATAGGGGGAAAATAGTTTAGTTTTAATTTTTTTTTTTAAATATGGAGAAAGTTACAAAAATTAAATTACCACACTCTTTCTACTGTCGAAAAGGCATTTACTAGGTAATTTACTTTTTTATATTATATATTATATTTTTAGTTAAATATCTGTTTTAGGTAACTTGATTTATAAATTTGATTTCTATTTTTTTGTAAGTGTAATAGTTTTTAAGAAAAAAAAATAAAATAGGTCTTAGTGGACAGAGGATTTTGCATGGTAGGAGGATTCTTATTACATCAAAAATCCATAAAAATTAACGATATAAATTGAAATTAAATATAATAAATGTTGGAAATGAGCACCTCCCACAATTACACAAGTCTCCAATTCCTGGACAATTTTTAATAACTGCACATGAATCAATAATCAGTGCTTAAATTGGCCGAGGCTGTAGGCAGAGGGCAAAATTACCTTTAATCAATACACTTCAAGACAACATTTTGGCATTTATGAGAGCTCGAAGTGTATTTGTAAGATAATTTTTTACAATTTTATTTAATCATTAAAACTACAGTTATTAAAGTTATTATTAATTAATTCATTGGAAATATCAAATCTTTACATTTTCATTAATATAAAATAAACTAATTGTCAATCCGATATTTGTTAATTTTCGACCCAACATTTATATTAACCATGTCATTTTTGCTGATAACGTCGTATATATGCATATTATCACTGTAATATTTTATTTATTGGATGAACATAACTTGAAACGGAAAGATTCTTCAATGCATACAGTAAAAAAATTTAATCATTTTAATATTCACATATTTTAATTAATGTAAAATACTTTATTAATTTTTATTTCTTTTGAATTTATTTATAGCTTTTTTTTTTCTTCAAATTGTTTTACCAATTGTTACTGTCATTTTTCTTTTTCAATATTGCATATTGTGTTCCCACCCATTCAGTAATTGGATATATTTGTTGAATGGTGTATCAAATAAATAAATAAATATGCAGATCAGGATGCATATCATAACATAATACATTTTTTTGCACAAAAAAATAATTAAATAAAAATAAATAAAAGACACATTAGCTTCAAATAAATGAGGCTATCTAAAATAGATTTTTAAACCACGTTGAGGAGAAAATAAAAGTTATGCAAGAAATTATTCATAGGGGCGATTAACCAAATGGAGAGGGTGAAAAATTATCAAAACGCAAATACTTTTTCGATAATTGGCACAAAATGAACATAATTTCATTTTGGTAACTTCATATTTGAGGAAAAAAATTAAAACATTTCTCTGTTTCAAGGATTAAATTAGTTATCAACAAGGATTCACCTTCATTTTTTTACACTTATCTATTTCACTCTGCATGTGTATATATTTTTCAAATTTATTATCACAGCAAAGTTGAAAAATGGACTATGCTTCTTTATTTTCAATATTTAAGTATGTTTGTAACGTAATGCTATTGTTAGGTCCCACTAGTCCAAGAACAGTGAGGACGGATTGGAAATTTTTAGTTTTTTACCAGAAGCCAAATTTATGTTGTTAAGTAGGTAGCTTAATGTGATCGTCCTTTTCTGTGTTAATGTCCTTGTCTTTTTAAATAATATTATTGTTATTTGTATATTAAAGTTTTTTCGGAAATTGTAACAAATAAGTAACTATTAAAATACAGTTTTTATTTATTTGATAATTAATTAATTAAATGAGAAAACTGAGAAATTTGCAGTTTGCTTGTGCTTTCACGAAAATTGTTGTAACTGGTCATCAATGATAGTAACTTGTAATTCAGTCAAAGAAATGAACAAATAAATTGCATTTATTTCAGATTTTCCTCATTCTGTAAATTATCTACAGTTTCTTATTGAATTCACGTAATTTAATTGAAAGATAATCTCAGAAATTGAATTTTGATAATCACAATTTACACAATTTTTAACTAAATACTTACAGATACTTATACTTACGTGATTAAAAATGGTGATTATTGCAAATGGTTCTAGTAAAAGAATATTTGATTTTATACCCTTAAAGCATTATTTTGTTTTTATTGTAAAGTAAATTAAATTTTTAACGGCAATTATATCAAATATGTATCATGTATCAAAAATTGGTGGTTGTTATAATATAATAACTAATAAAATAATTAGAAATCAAATAATATCAAGAGACCCAATGTTAAAAAGCGGCATCTTTATGCAAGCACTAAATTTTTTTAAATCTGCGTTTTAATTTTAAAAAAACTAAAATTTTATGACTAAAAAAAAAAGTTAATTTTATTTCTAACATTAATAGTTAACAAAATATTAAAGGTAAATATAGGTTCATTGGAAGACTCACGAGAGCATTTCAAACATAATCTTCTATTTAAAAAAATTGTCGATAATAAGTACAAAATAATCTAGGGGGTGGTTGCCGAAGTTATTTTGTGGAAAAAGTTCATATAAACTTAGGTCGAAATATGCTTCGATTCCGAGATACAGTGTTTAAATTTTAATTTTTTATTTATTTTTATTAATTCTTTCACAGTTTTATAGATATTGACTCGAAATTTGATGGTTGTATTTTATTTAGAAATATTGACAGCAACCAACTAGATAATGTATCAATAGAAATTAAAAAATACACAACTTGCAATAAAATATGTTTTATTTTTTTCCTCAAAAACAGTGCATTCTACGAAAAAATTTGAAGAGACCAATTTCATTCAGAATTGATAACGGATTTCTAAAAATTATATCCAAGCTGAAAAAAGTCAGTGTGGTATTTTTTTTTATTAGAAAAAGGTGGCATTCCCGCACGAATGTCACTGGTGCAAGTAGAAATATTCGGATCCCCAAAAAATGCACATTTATCCCTCCAAAGCGTTTTTCAAATTTCGAGTCAATTTCTCTGAAATAATTAATAAAACTAAATAAAAAATTAAAATTTTAACACTGTATCTCGGAAACGAAGGATATTTCGATCTACATTATATAACTTTTTTTCACAAAATAATTTCGGCAATTGCCCTCTAAAATATTTCGCATTTATTTACAAACATCCTGTATATAGAGGCTCCCTACAAAGAAAGTTAGGAAGATAGTTACAAGGATTTTTTATTAAAAACTTGAAATGATTAAAAAAATATTTATAAAACACCAAACATAATTTTTTTAAAACATAAATTAGATTTAATGTATGCCTATTCACATACTATCACATACTAATATTAGTAAATATTTAATAAATCATACAAAAAAAATATAAATTCTTTAAACACACTTTTTCTGCATTGACAAAAAAATGTTTTGTAAATATGTCATAAAGTCATACAGAAGCAATCGTTTTTATAATATTATTTTACATTGCTGTTTTGTTCGATTACTTCTAAAAAAACTGACAGCCAATTAAAGTTACATTATGTATGTAACTGTAAAAATGCTCACAAAAACATAAATATTAAACCTCAGAAAAATTACCAGACATTTGTTTAAAAAGTACAATTTTGAAATAAGTTGCTTCAACTGATACTGTAACAAGTATATTTTGTCTACACTCTTTACATTTTTTATTTCAATAGAATATTCTCACAAAATTGCACAGTTTTTGAATATACAAAGCATTTGATAGTCTCTTGCATTAATTAGTTCTAATAAACGAGGCTACACTGTGCAAACATACAAGCAATGAGCAATTCTTGTATTTTTAACGGAAAACATTTGTTTCTGAAACAGACACAAGGGCACCGACGCCTCCTGGGTGGGCGACATCGAACTACCACCCGAGATAGCGGCTGAACTATCCGACGACGAGTGCCAGCCCGAATCCGAAGAACCCCGCAAACCCCAGAAACGCAAGCACGGCAGCCAGGAGCGGCACAAACGCTTCGAGGAGGACATGAACCGGTGCAACACACTCAACACTCATGCGGTTCGTCTCGTCGAGACTCAACGTCAAGGTCCCAGGATCAGCCGTTACAACGACCACGTGCAGAGGGTACTGTTCAGTGACGTCGTATCTCGGAACAGATTACTCCCTACTTTCGACCCGACCGTTCCTCCGCCAGGGTTTCACTCGTTCCCTAGGATCCGGGGCCACAACATGAAGTGGCAGATGCCGCCCGTGACTTCCTTGAGACCGCCCCGGTGCCTCTTGTCGGGACAGAATCAGAATTACTCTAACACGTATACGAATAACGATGCGAACCACGGACCGGGGCCTTCCTCCCATCCATATTAGTTGTTTCGGTGTTTCTTTGGGGGATACGTGTATATTTCTTTTAGGTGTAGCGGGTATGATAAGTCGATTTCAAGCGGTCAAAATGGCGTCGGTAAATATACAATTTTATATATTATCTTGCAAGTTTAATGGTGTCGTCATTACTTTGACCATGTCCGGGAATAACAAATATTATAACTCATAGTTTTATACAAGGTTGATATATTGTGGTATATTTATACTGTTGTCTCGTAATAAACGAATTGGTCTCATTATCAAATTCACTTTGAATAAATATACAATTTAAATTACGGTATACAGGTATAACTGTCTCATTTTGGTTTGAATTGTTTCCTGTTAATTATTATTTAGGACTTTTTAAAATTGCATGAGATTCATCACGTCTCACAATATAATTTTGATGATCTCATAATAATGATTTCATTGATTGATTGACTCATCATAAAATTGTTAAAATTGTTGATAATTCTTATATTACAGATCTCGCGATAAATTATTTATGAGACAGTATTATGATACATGTTACAACACATAAAATAAATTATTTTGTAATTTGTTGTCTGATAAGAGACCACCAAGACCCGTACGTCCATCGAGTTATATAAAACGGGTCCTTTGACTTGAGTAAATTGAGATGTCGTACCCCATTTTCTAGTTTTACTGTATTATACATTTGAGTTTTTATTATTATATGCAGCACTTTTTTCGTGCCATTTAAAAGACTGTATGTAGTTAATAGAGTTTGTAATTTATTTTATTTTCCAGTTTAGGATTAGTTGTCCTGCAACACCTATCTTGCTTTTCGTTAGTACAAACATCAATACTTTTCGAAATCGCTCGGTTTTCAACATTTTATGTATATTTATTACATCAGGATGAGTATTTTTTTATTACTGCTTATAAGTTGTAGTAATATAGGGCTGTTTGATTTTTAAGTAGAAATTCTTGTTTCTAGTAAAATAAAAGGTTTATTGTTAATTTTAGATTGTATCCTTTTATAAAAAATACACTCATGAACTATTTTACTGTTTTTTTTTTAATTCCTGCTCCTTTTAAACAAACATACAGGAAGTAATAGTCGTATAAAAATCAGTTCACTTTTCTGTTGGTCTACAGGGTGTTTCAATTCGGGGGAATCAAACATTAACCACAAATAGAACTCAAATACAGGGTGTCTTACGATGACGGCCCATCAAAATTATTTCAGAGACTACTTCGATTTGAATTTTGAAAATTTGGAGTACCGGATTTTCGGGCATGCCCTTCTCAACTAAAATATGGCGTCCACGTACTATTTCTGGTTACACTGGAAGTCGCCTTCAACTTGCTTATTTTAAATGAAACACCCTATATATTATTGCAATTTTGGATTCTACTTGTTCTTTTAGGTGGACTTTTATGAAGTTTCCCTATTCCTAAAATTAACCATTTTCGAAATATTTAATTTTTTTCAAAAAAATGGAGAAACAGTGACTAGCTTCAAACCCTAAGCTTCCCATCCATGCTTTCAAAGTGGCTTAATTGCATACAGGGTGCTAGAAGTTTATTGTCGAATTTAGTTAACTTCAAACCTTCATAAGTCGTTTTTTTTTAAATGGAACACCCTGTATGTTTTTCTATATTCTGATACATAATTTTATTCTCTATCGAACGGTATCAGGGTTTTCTATTCTCTTCTAGTTTCTTTTATCTATAATTTTTTCTATCACGCGCACTCGCTATGGGACCTATAGTGTATATGTATATATATGTATAGGATAGGCGCACGGAAAGTGCTAGATAGTACAACAGCGTGATGTTATTTTCATAGCGCAACGCTCCAGCCCCCTATAAATATTGTTGCTTTATCTTTCTTACTATAAAATACACATGTTTTGAAGCTACTCACTGTTTCTCTCAATTTTTTTGAAAAAATTTAAATATCTCGAAAACTGTTAATTTTAGGAATAGGAAAACTTCATAAAAGTCCACCTAAAATAAACGTAGAATCCAAAAATTGCAAAAATATATAGGGTGTTCCATTTAAAATAAGCAAGTTGATGGCGACTTCCGGTATAACCGGAAGTGGTACGTGGAAGCCATTATTTTAGTTGAGAAAGGCATGCCCGAAAACCCGGTATCTCAAATATTCAAAATTCAAATCGTAGTAGTCTCTGAAATAATTCTAATGTGCCGTCACCGTGAGACACCCTGTATATGATAAACCCTTTAATCCTTAAAAGCCTAGATATAAAATCTATAAATATCTATTTTAAATTGATCTTCTTGCCATCTGATGACGAGTAGCTTTAACAGCATTTGATTAAACAGCCCGTTGAATTAACCACTTACAGTTTTCTCATACAAGGAATTCCAAAATATATAGACAACTTTTATCTTTGACTTAGAAGCAACATAACAGATGGCGCAGAACTTCGGAAATTTAAATAAACAAGTTTTAATGAGTTAATCAATTAATTAATTTTAAATGTTTTTTATTATCCAGTTAATTATTCTTACATATAGGTATATATTTTTTTTCGAGACTGATGTCATAATGAATTAAAGTTTATTTATTTCAATACATATTGTTTGTGTTGGAGAATTAGTTCATTTTTTATGACTTTTTTTAACATATAATATCAATCATTTATTTCTTAGATATAGACATTAAAAATTAAAATTTAGGTTCACAAAATCGATCAAAAATAAGATTTTGTTCAAAATTGTAATTAAAGAAAAACAAGACATTTTTTTATTTTATTTTAATGCAGCACAATTTTGTGGTGGAAATTTAAAGTAAGTCAAAATAAAAAGGAGATATATAATTTGGCCAATAAATTCCCATTTTTGTAAATGAAGTTCACTAGTCACAAAAATTTAGGGATATTAAAAAATAGTTTTCTTTTTTTTTATAATAAGTAATTTTTTTTGCGATGAAGAAAATATGGATTATTGCTAAAAAACATTTTCAACTTTAACATTCCGGGCGCTAGGATAAAAAATCGCAGCGCTTTGAAACTATCAGGGTTTCTTTAGGACACTTTAAGGTTGAAAAGTTACAGTCAATACCCTTAGTTTATCCACTATTTGCAAAGTTATGCCAATATCACTAATTATGCAGTTTTTTACCTTTTTTTCAACCAACATTTTCACTTCAAAATTTTTTGTATCAAAAATCAATGATTACGACTTGTAGAGAATACTGTGCAGTTTCCAAAACTCTACTCAGAATTTCTGTACGATCGTTATTTCTCGAGTAATTGACTGCCTCTGGAAAAGATTACTTTTCATTTGAATTTTATTACAAAAGTAAAATTATAAATGCACTACCGTGACAAACGATTCCAATTATAGGTCAGGGCATACAAAAAATACAGAAAAGATTTCTACTAAAGTAGACACATTTAACGTCCCAAAACATTAAACTTAAACAATAGGCTTAGTTTTAATTATGTATGTCAAAAGGACATTTGAAGATTATAAATGTTATTAATGAACACACTGAATAGCCAAGAATGACCATTGAGGTACTTCAGAAGTATCCAGAATTTTAGGCCGATGACCTGTTAGAAAGGTAAGATCCGAAAGACTTTATCATGATTCATGAGTGACTACGTGGTACACCACTGCATGGGACCGAATGTAAACGCAACGGCACCGGCGATACCAGAGATGAACGTGAGACCACACCCACCATCCTACTGCGCAGTGGATGTAGTCGAAGCCCCGCCCTCTACCCCCTACTAGATCTGTGCAGTAATGATATATCAAGCGGTCTCTGATGCGGCGAACTTTTTGCAGCCAACAACAAGAGCAGATTTGGATATTTTTTAAAATAACGTTCTTTCTGATTAAAATAATGGAATGAAAATTGTAGGTAATAATAATACCATAAGAGTCTTTAACTATCATAAGTTTCATCAAAATCGTTTATAAATAAGGATATAGTTTTCTAATTACCCTTATCAGAAATTTTTCGACATTTTTTTATTCCTTTAAATTATCAAGCAAATATAATTTTTTAATGAATTAGACTTTTTTGAGGAAAAAATGTCTACTTTCTTTTCGAATTCTGCGTAGTTTAGTCAGAAATAATTATTTTTTAAATAATGTATGACTCAGAACAATAATTTTTTTTAAATATTTTCACATAGTAGGCACCTTTGACTTTCATGGCGACAGTTTCGTTGTAATGATACTAATGATTGTCACTTTCGCATGCTATCATTTAAATTCTTACGTTTCTTAGTTGTGATCTTTGTACTTGACTTTGCACTTCATTTACAACCACGAACCATCATGCTTTTGCTAACTGTGAATATGCCGATATGCATTTTGTTTATGGTTTATGTAACGGAAATAGTCTGGCGGCTAAAAAAGAGTATCGGCAACGTTTCCCTGATAGAAGGCAACCTTCTGCAAAATTGTTTGGAAAAATTCATGCAAGAACGATGGAATCAGGAGCCCTAACTTCAAGATATCGTGAATTTGGCCGTCCAAGAAGGCGTAGGCATGATTTAGTCGAAGTAATTTTAGGATTTTTTTAACGTAATCCTGTCGCGAGTGTAAAGGTGGGTATCCATTTCTGTCAAATGCCTCGTAACGTAACACCGAACATGTTACATTACAGCTAGTGGAGATGGAAAATTGTTGCATGGTACGTGTAACAAATTTGACACGCGTAACTAATCCGGGAGGAACCATCAGTTGTCGGTTTTTAGTCGTCGCATCAAAGGGATGCAACAGTACTTTCTGCCACATGTTGAGACGGGGTTACCTTTTTGGCTGTAACGTTGCCTGTTGCACATGTGATTTTGTCTTTTTTTTGTTTCATCAGTCTTTTGTATATGGTCTGGGGTCAGTCTGTTTTCTGCAGTGACTAGGAAGAGTGTGTTTTTCCGTGTTTGTGCCATGGAGTGGAGTGAAGAAAAGATTTCCGGAGATTTCCATTTCTTATTCTTCAAAATTGTATGACGAATAAAAATATATGACACTGCTGCTAACTGCAATTGCAGTGACAAATCCATTATTGCAGTCAGGTTCATACTGCGAGTTTATGTTCCTGTGTCGTCTCGTAACCTTATTTTGTTACGTTATGGAATGAATGATACGACCAAAACCACACATACTTTCGCAGCGAACCGTGTGACCTTTTGCAACAGGCCGTAACATGTTCGTTGTTACGTTACGGAGCATTGCCACAAGTGGATACCCGCCTTAAGAAAAGCGTCTGCTCATGATGGTTCATGGTTGTAAAAAAATCGACTGAAATGGAAAGTCAAGCACAAAGATTAACTAAGAAGATAAAGAAACTTAAGAATTTAAACGATAGCACGCGAAAGTGACAATCATTAGTATCATTATAACGAAACTGTCACCATGAAAGATGTCTACTACGTGAAAATGTTAAAAAAAAAATTACTGTTCCGAGCCATACATTATTTAAAAAATAATTATTTCTGACTAAACTACGCAGAATTAGAAAAATAAAGTAGGGACATTTTTTCTTGAAAACAGTCAAATTCATTACAAAATAATATTATTTGCTTGATAATTCAAAGGAATAAAAAAAAATCGAAATTTCTGTCAAGGGTAGTTAGAAAACTATCCTTATTTATAACCGATTTTGATGAAACTTATGACAGTTGAAGACCCTTATGGTATGATTATTACATACAATTTTCATTCCATTATCTTAATCAGAAAGTTATTTTAAAAAATATCCAATTGATAAGACTCCTTTGGATCTTTGGATGACCATATCTCAGTACCGGTACTCCGGAGGATCAATGTTTATAGCAACTTTTTTACTACTTTTGGCTCTACTTTCACCTCCTTAAATTTTGTACAAACTTTTCCAAATACCCTGTATAAATAGCTTGAAATGCACAATATTGGATGAATGGTACATTACGTTATCATCCCAGAAACTGCAAAGTAAATGCACTTAGCTGCAGCTGCAACTGACCAAAGCTGGCAAACCATTAAAGTATAATGTATTTATCTATGCACAAATGATGGCAAATTAAA